ATGTCAAAGGGCCAAACTGCTTGCTCTTTGTGGTTAATTGAGGAAGGGCCTGCTTGGGGCAGGGCAATAGCTTCTGCTGTGGTCTTCAGAGGAGGAGTGGCGACACACGCCAGAGAGAAGGGCAAAGGGCCCCTCGTCGCATCCAGCCTGGCCAGCCTGGCCAGGCTTGGAAGCAGGTGTGACCCACTCATGGTATCAGCTCAGAGGCTTGGAAGAGCCACCAGCTCTGCCCATTTACTAGCTGGAATGGGGCAGTTAGTTCCTTCACTCTGGCTTAGGGCTTTGCACCCACAGGTATAATTTCTGATATATCGGAGATTATAATTTTTTTTTTTTTTTTGAGACAGAGTCTCGCTCTGTTGCCCAGGCCAGAGTGCCGTGGTGTCAGCCTAGCTCACAGCAACCTCAAACTCCTGGGCTCAAGTGATCCTCCTGCCTCAGCCTCCTAAGTAGCTGCGACTATAAGTGTGCACCATCACGCCCAGCTCATTTTTACTATTTTTAGTAGAAACGGGGTCTCGCTCTTGGTCAGGCTGGTCTCCAACTCCTGAGCTCAAGCGATCCTCCCTCCTCTACCTCTCAGAGTGCTAGGATTACAGGCATGAGCCATAGCACCTGGCCTAGAGATCACAATTTGTGTTAAAAGGTTAAATCCGCCCCCCCATTATAAACAAAGACTCAGTTTGCGTAAAAAATAAAAACGTGGGCATACACTGTCAACAAAAAGACACATTTTTAAAATAAAAAGGCACTGGTTTTATCCCCTTAGCAATCACATCTCTCTGGGAGAGGATCTGGAGCCAGAGGCCCCCACCATTACCACATGATCTCAGATCTCTGGACTTAGTTTCCTTATCTGTAAAATGGGGATGGTGATCAATACCTTCCAGGGCTGTGGTGAGGAGGACTGAACAGTGCACATGGGTGGGATGGTGATTTGCTTCATCAGTCATTTACACCTTAGTGTGAACAAGTTCCAGGTCCTTTCCCAAGACCAGGTTTGGATCAGGAGATGTGGGCAAAAGCTCTAGAGCATCTGGGACTGAGGGTCTGGGCCAGCCATTACCTGTGGGCCTGTCCTGGAGCCACACAGAATGGCCTGTGGCTCGGGTGGGGCAATGGCTACCCAACCCTGAAATCAACAGAATTCCAGTCTCCCAGGCCCAGCTCAGCTTCCTGGGTGAGGGATGCGCACTGTTGGCTCTGAGTGATCCGGGAAATGGAGGAGGAAGTGAAAGCAATAGCGGATGGTGAGGAAATCCCAGGACTCACCCTTGTCTTAGCCAGAAACATGGGGTTGAGGGCAAAGGCCAAACCTGTTCAACCCTCCTTCAATAGCAGTCCCTGAAACTGCCCGTGCCAGGCCCTCCACTGTGTGCACGGGACAGATCACTCCATCTCTCCTGTTTCTTTGGATTCTTTCCTCTGTATGCCAAGAAGCTTTGGCATTTCAGCCCCCTTTGGTTTGGAGCTGAGTCCAGGTCTGGGTCAACAGCTTCAGCAAACAGGACCCCTCCCAGCTGCCTGAGCTGCCACCCTAAATCCAGAATCCCCAGCAGGCTCCCTGACAGGAGAAACTCAGCCCGGTCTGAAACGATGTCCCTTTTTTCCTGGTCTGGTACTCTTAGACTCATTTCTACACATTTCCCCAGGTTTTTGCTGGTATTAGTTAGCAAGATCTTCTGGCTCACCTGGCGTGTAAGCCTCCTCCCTCCGGATCGGGTTTTTCAATGTAACTGTTTCCCTGGAGTGCGATAGGATTTGCTCTAGTTATGGGCTCAGAGAAGTGCCGTAGCTTGCTCAAGGTCACATGGATCACACGTGGCTCCAGAGCCCCAGTGCTTAGCCCTTTCCCTCTCCTGCCTTTGCTTTAAAATGAGCAAACAAGCTCCCTTCTTGGCACACCTTGAGAGTCACGCAGCCTGATCCCTCCCGCTGCTGCGGATCTGAGGTCGCAGATGGGCGGGGCCTTGACAAAGGTCACAGGGCAGGGATGGAGCTAAGCCTGCTCTCTGCTCTGCTCAGTGCCCCTCTGGGCAGAGCCAGACCTGTGGGCCCTTCTTCTCTGAATCCTGGGTGCCCAGAGGAGGCGTTCTTTTCCTGTGTGACACCCCCTCCCCCAGCCCAGGGTTCCCCAGGCTGTCACCCAATCCAGGCTCAGCAGGGATGGCATTGACGGAGGGTCTCTTTTCCCCTGCAGGGAAGTTCTGGCATATCTCTGACCTGCACCTGGACCCCGACTACAGTGTATCCAAAGACCCCCTCCAGGTGTGCCCGTCAGCGGGTTCTCAGCCAGTGCCCAGTGCAGGCCTCTGGGGTGACTACCTCTGCGATGCTCCCTGGATCCTCATCAACTCCTCCATCTATGCCATGAAGGAGATCGAGCCGCAGCCTGACTTCATCCTCTGGACCGGGTGAGCAGTCATGGCAGCAGCTCCCCTGTGCCGGGCACCTGCTGTGTGCCACGTGCTAGCCTGGCACTTTAGTCACCTTAATCCTGGATCAGCCCCGTCTTAGAGATGAGGAACCCGAAGCGTAAAGGAGTTATGTACCTTGCCCAGGGGTCCCTGCATCTGGCCGATTCCAAAGTCTGTGTCCTCAACCTCCATGTCTCCCGGACTTGGCAGAACACAGATCTCACTGAGGCTGGGGACACGGTTGTGGCATGTCTGGGTACCTGGGCAGCTCCTGGGTTTAAGCTGGGGGTGGACACTGGAGCCACTTAGAGGGGTTTAGGGACTCTAAGTCGGAGAGATCCAAATGCAGGAAGGGAAGAAGGTACCAGGGCTGAAAGGGGTCCAGAATTGGGGCCAAGTGTCCTGGTCAGCTGCTGGCCTCCCCTGGAGCGTTCTCACTGGTCAGAGCACCGCTCTGCATGGGACAGCTGGAGGGACGATGCCACTCAGCCACAGAGGCCGGTTTCTGCTTCTCCTCTAAGGATGCTGCTCCAAGTCTGTCGACTTTCCTGGGAACTTGCCTTCCTTACTCCTCAAGGTCCCCCGGTCCCTCGCACTCCCTCACTTGGTAGGTGAGACTGTCGGGTGCTCAGCCCTGGGGTGGACACTGGGGAACTGAGACGATGGAGACCCAGCCTTGCCTTCAAGGAGCTCACGGTCTTGTGGGCGATGCAGACAAGCCCGTTGACCAGTACATCCCAGCGAGGAAGGACGGACACTGGAGGGATGTGGAGCTTCATGGGGCACCTGACCCCATCTGGCAGGACTGGGGAGCATTTACTGCAGGGGAGTAAGTGAGCAAGGCGGGGAGGGGCCTCTGCCGCCTCAACGGACACTTCTATAAGTGTCCGAATAAAACCCACGAGGCTCCCAGCTGTCCCCCACTGTGTGACCTGGGAGTGACCAGGAATGACCCTCAGATGATCTTGTGGTTGGCAGGGGAAGAGGCAAGGCTGGACACTTAAGAAATGTGACATTGTCTCAGGAGGGTCCTGGACAGCCCTGGCTTCCTTGGGCTCAGGAATCAATCTAAGAAAAGAGTGGACTTTAGTCCACGACCTTGGACTCCTGCTCCCTCAAGGGGTCTCGCTGCGGGAGCCTCTGATTTCTCTGAGGAGGCGGGAAACGTGTATCGTTCTGAAAGACGTGATCCCTCTGGGAAAGCCTTTGGGAAATTCATCATCCTTTAACAGACGTATAATTTTTCTGGGAAATCTCTGGGACCTTGCAGAGGTGTTTGGCATTGGACCAGATGATCTCTGGGATCCTTTACAATTCCTCAGTTATAAAAAAGTTTGACTTCTCCGAGAGAGCTGCAAGCCCTTGGAGAATAATCAGTAGAAATTGGATGTGTTTTCTATTGAACGGAATTAGATCCTTCAAACTAGGAAAAAAATGGGATTTTGTTCCTATATCTTTGGGTTCCTAGCCTGTCCCCAAGGAGTTTTCAGGGCTAAACAGCTCCTCTTGCTGCCCTAGTGAGTACCAGAGATGCAGTAGGATGTTATGGATGTCGGCATAGACCCTGGGGCCACGCTGATGGGGTTCAAATCTTGGCCCCACCACTTTCTGGTTGTCTGCACTTAGGCACAATTCTTAACCCTTCTGTACCTTGGTTTTTTAATCTGGTACGTAGGCCTAACAGTAGAAGCTACATTGTAAGGTTGTAGTGAGGAACCGATTAGTGGATACGACTAATGGCACACTGTAAGCCGGTGTGAGCTCCTAGTGACAGTATTGGTGCTGATAAGCTAATTAACTCCTGGTGAGGGCCGAGGACATGGCCAGCAGGTTCCTCTCTCAATCTGGTCTAGCAGAGGCCTCCGGATTTAAGTCATTTGAACTTCTACCCATCCCCAAATGCCACCTGCCACCATTCTCCTCCCCGTGCTGAGCATTTCCAAGGTGGATCCAAGAATTTAGATCAGTTGAATGGGGGACAAAATGTCCTGGGGCAGGTCCTGGATCTGCCCTAGAGGAGATCTGAACCTACATTCTGAAGCCAGCGCCCAACTCAGCTCCTTAGAGCTCTTGGTGAAAGGTGCAGCATTCAGAGATGGCTTCTCTACCCCGAGCTCCCTGGGGGCTTGCAGATGGGACTGGAACCCAGAGCTTCCCTCTCTAAATAATATGAACTACAACCTAGCAACCTATATGGAATTTTATGCATATAATTTCCCCCTTGATTGAAGTCTCACAAATACTCTATGAGTAGGTACCTTATTATCCCCACTTTACAGACGAGCTAACAGAGGCTCAGAGAGGTTAAACAACCAGCCCAGGGACCCATAGCAGGTACATGGCAGAATCAGGATTTGAACTCTATCCTGACTCCACTCCAGCCTGGCTATTCCCCGCTAAGTGGACATCTGAGGCCCAGGCCACATGCTTCTCCTCACTGCAGAGCTTCCCTTCCTTTTCTTGTGTCCCTTCCTGAGTTCTCTGCCCTAACTGGCTTGGTGGTGTTTTGCAGCGATGACACGCCTCATGTGCCCAACGAGAGGCTGGGAGAGGCAGCTGTACTGGAAATTGTGGGACGCCTGACCAAGCTCATCAGAGAGGTCTTTCCAGGTAAGACTGTGTCATTGCCCCCCCGCCCACCACATTCCCTGAGCCCCAGACGGTGCCTGGCACAGGGGGACAACAGCAGCAGCAGGTGTAAAGACCTTCATCCATCGGTGACAATGGCTGTCGGCCGGGTCCTGTGTCAGGTGCTTTGCAGTGATCATTTCTTACCTTCCCAACAACCCCGCAATCGACGTGCCAGCCTGTGGGCCTGTTGCACGCGCAGATCCGTTACAGGGAGTGCCTGCCGCTTCGCTGCCTTCTGCCCCTACCTGTCTAACAGCAGACTCACACACCCGTGTCAGGGTGTTTACAGTTACACACAGCTGTCAGCCCTGGGGAGGTCTCTCACAGCCCTGTGTCCTGCTCTGGCAGGAGCTGGCATCCTCCACCCTCAAACCACCCCGGCTGCCAGGGGCTCTGGGAGATGCTGATGTGTAGGAAAGTGCTGTTTCTTGTTGCTTGCATGGCCTTCAGAGGCTGGCAGAGCGGGTGGGGACTGGGAGCGAGTGAGGCAGCAGCTCTAAGGGACACCATAGGGAGAATAGGGTCTAATGGTCCTTGAACATGTTTCAAACACCAAGTCCTGGGGGCCGAGTCGGGCTGGCGGGCTACCCGTGAAAGCAGCCCACTAGCCACCCCCACTCCTCCTGCGGGTTCCGGTCCAGCTTCCTCAGGACCCAGACATGGAATGTGACAGTAAAAATTAAAACAGCAGCAGAATAACTACATGTGTCAAGTGCTAAGTATGAGGCGCCTTGTCCCGTTCACTGTCATGATAATCCTGGACAGAGGTGCTAGTACCATCTCCATTTTACTGATGAGGAAGGTGAGTGTTGGGGGTCAAGGAAACTGATCAAGGTCATGTGGCAAGGGTGGGGCCCCAAATCCTGGTTTGAGCACTGCGATTACGCCCCACTCCCACAGACTTCTTCCCTCAGTGTAAATCAGTGCGTGCAAAGGGATGTCTAGAGGCTTCTAGTTAGTCTAACCCAACCCAACCCAACCTGGACTGCTGGGGCCCCTTCATCTTCCAGCAGAGGTCACTACTTGGGGTCAAACCACGACATTCCCCCACCCCAGCAATAGTACTATGACTCACAATGTATAGCTAAGGAGCCATGACTCAGAGCTAGTCAGTTCCTAGGGAGGGAGTCAAAACTCACATTCCATTTGGAGTATACTTTCCTTTGCTCCATATGGGGCTTCCGGAATAAAAGTGAAATAATAGATAAGAAAATGTAAATGATAAGATTTTGCAGTTTATACCACACTTGCACATTTATTGAATTTTCTAACATCCAAGGTGCCATTGACTTAAAGATGCATGGATATTTTATGTATTGCTAAGAAAAAAACGCTGCTGGTTCCAGTCTGACACAGCGCTTTCTCCCGGCCACAGCCGCAAGGCACACCTCACTTTTAGAGATGGTAAAATGAGAATAAATTAGAAGAGATGAAATGAAGCATTGTCTTATTTGAGAATTATACAACACAGGCCAAGCAGAGCCACTCTTATTCTGTGGATGATTAGGCTGAAGTACAGAGAGGCCAACTAACCGGTTTGAGAGGAGGAAGGGACAGAGGTTTGGGATTCCGGGTTCCACGGCATGTGCTCTTCCTGCCACGTTCCTCCCGTGTTGCCCCCAGAGTCGCTGTGAACACCAGTCCCTGCCTCCCCAGCGCTGCCAAGTGGAGGAGAGCGCAGGCACACAAGGGAAACAAATCCAGGGCCTACTTCCAGCTCCGCCACGTTCTAGCTGGGTAATCTCAGCCAGACTGTTTTCTCCCACTGAAAAAAGAAAAGGAATGGTACCTGCCCAAAGGGTTGTTATGGGGATTAAATAAGGTAATACATTCACTCATTTAGTCAATCAACAAATATGAACTGAGCATCTGTTACGGGTGAGACACCATTCCAGGGGTAGAGGACATGGCAGTGGGCAGGATACCAGGTCACATCCCCACGGGACTCGTGCTGGTGAGGACCCTGGCACACAGGCGGTACAGCAATGGGAGCGATTCCCTCCCTCTTCGTCTGCCCTTGGGATTCCAGGATTTGTGTTTTTCCTTAAATGGATTCTCCATGGCTGCTGGCATTTAGGGAGGTGAGGGTTTTTTAAGGTGGTTACAGTGATGCATTCGACAACCTCCTACTTTGGCAGAGCTGTCAGCATTTCTAGATCTTACAGGCTACACAGGGCAGAGGGTGTGTGAGAGATATTTCCCAGCCGGGAATTGGAGGCTCCAGCCTTCCTCACTGGTTCAAGGTTGCTCCCTGGGATGGGCCAAGCTCATATAAGGGCAAGGCCCTCGCTGCTCTGAGCACGAGAGGAGTTTTTGTTCATCGTCACATCATTAATGGAGCCCCCACTACGTGCCAGACACAGAGCACAGAATAAAAGCAGGAGTGAGGCTGTTCAGTGGAGGCTCCTCCACCTCCACTCCTGCCCTGTCACCACACCCACAGCAGTGGCCCTTCCCTTTTCGTGGGAGCCCTCGCACCTCTAATTACTCAATACCTGTCACCCCTACTGCACTGCAAGGCCTCTGGGACCGGGAGCCTGGGTCCCTGCTCTGTGCCTCAGCACACAGTAGGTGCTCAACAACGTATCTGCTGGCTGCATGAACCGGTGAAACTCCTAAGACCTCCCAGAGTGAGCCAAACCCTTCCCTAACAGTAAGGTGGATCTGGAACTGACAAGAACTGGGAACACTAAATGACCAAGTGGCTGACAATGACCTGAATTATTTCGACCATCCCGTTTCCCCCTTCTCATCTGCTTCCTCCTTTCTGGCCAGGAGACTTTCTGCTGGGAATGGGGTTAGGGACTGGGGGGTCAGAGAACTCTCTGTTTTTCCTCCCCAGGTCTGAGCAGAGCTCAGCCAGATTCTATCAGCTGCGGTTTTCTGCTCATCTTTGTATTTTTCTCATCTGCGCCGTCGCTATTGCTCTTCCTCATTAGGTCTGATGGCTGGTGGCCAACCGAAAATGACTAATTCTACCAAGTGCTTTTCGTATACATTGTGTATTTCTCCTTTGCCTCCCAGATACTAAAGTCTATGCTGCTTTGGGAAATCATGACTTTCACCCCAAAAACCAGCTCCCAGCAGGGAGGAACAACATCTACAACCAGGTAGCAGAACTGTGGAAACCCTGGCTTAGTAACGAATCCTTCGCTCTCTTCAAAGAAGGTACTGACACCATTTGCTACCATAAGGAGCATCTGCTGCATGCCAGGGTCCGATCTAATTTTGTCCTCACAACAGCTCCTTGAAATAGGTGCTGATTGTATCCCCATTTTACAGATAAGGAGACTGAGGCTTGAAGATACCAAGTCACTTGGCCAAAGTCACATAGTTTACTTAGAAAAGGCAGGCTTGGGAGCAGAATCCGGGACTGACTCCAAAGCCTGTGCTCCAAACCCCACAGTGCTCGATGATCATAAGTCAGTACTTACTGAGCATCTACTGTGCCAGGCAGCGTACTAGACTCTTCACAACAACCCTGGGAAAGACCAGTGACTTCCACTTCAAGCAGGGTTTGAACCTTGCCACTGCTGACGCTTTGGGCAGGGTAGTTCTTTGTTGTGGAGGACTGTCGTGTGCGCTGCAGAGTGTGTAGCGGCATCCCTGGCCTCTACCCACTAGATGCCAGCAACACCCAGAGCTGTGACAACCAAAAGTGTCTTAGACATTCCCAAATGTTCCCTGGGGGGCAAGATTACCTGGTTGGGAGCCACTAGTTCAGAGACACAGCCAGCCCAAAGGAAACTGACCCTACCCTATTCCCTTTCCTTGGTCTCCTGCTGCTGTGACTCCCCGCTGGTCAAACGCAACCAGAAGCCTGTCGATTTAGTCCACATAGACCAGCTCCCGGGGCAGAGAGCTCAGTGGGGAAGGGTTGACAGTGGATCTGGATGGGCAAACACGCATCGTTGTTATTCCCGTTATACAGATGAGGAAACTGAGGTATAGAGAGGTAAAGTAACTTTCCCAAGTTGCACAGCTAATGAGTGATAGAGCCAGGACTTGAACCCAGGAAGACTGGCTTCTGAGCCTTTGGTCTCACTGATAGGTGCCTCCTATGGTAAAGATGGCGAGGGAAGGACAAGGTGGGAGAGTGCGGGGAAGGGGGCAGGGGTGTGTCTGGCCAGAGGTGGGGTACCCCTTCCATTCTCCCTGGCTGTGACGTCCTAGGTGCCTTCTATTCTGAGAAGTTGCCGGGTCCCAGCAAGGCTGGGCGCATCGTGGTCCTCAACACCAACCTGTACTACATCAACAACGAGCAGACGGCAGGCATGGCCGACCCCGGCCGGCAGTTCGCGTGGCTAGCAGATGTGCTGACCAACGCTTCCCGAGCTGGGGAACGGGTAAGGGGTCCTGCTTCTTTCTCCTCCTTCTCTGGGGTTCCTTCCTGAACAAGTGTCCCACTCGGGACAAACTCACCCACCCACTCTGAGATGCCCTTGTCACGTCCTTCATCAGCCTGGCACCTGGAGGGGTTTTTTCCATCCTCGCAACAGCCCTGTGAGCTGGGATCCAGAAGCCCATTGTAGAGGAGGACACTGAGGCTCACAAGGGGCAATCATACGATAAGTGACAGAGCTGAGACTAGAACACTGGTCTCCGGACTCCAAGTCCAGTGCTCTTTCCACTGCTACCATATGCACAGCTGCAGCCCCTACTGTGTGCCCTGCCCTTGAGGTGTGTCCAGCTAGTCTGCTGGGCCGGCAACTCCGCAAGGACTGGCCTGAGTCCCTGCGCTGACCAGCACATCCCAGGAGGATTCGTGGCTGGTGCTGGTGGGCACTCACTGTGCCGGCATCGGGCACGTTGCTCAGTGCTTTACGGGGATTATCTCGTTTAGCTCTCCAAACTCCAGCATGAGGTGCTATTCCAGCGGAGAAAACTGAAGCTCAGAGAGGTGACACACAGCTGGTGTCTAAGCTGCAGTGTGACCCCAAATCTCATGCTCTTAACCCTGTCCCTGTTCTGCCTCCTGCAATGGTAGCCAAGTGTCCAGGTGTTGTTAGCTGAGTGACTAGAGGAACGTAAGACATGCACGCACGTTACCACGTAGCGTACACTACACAACCATGCAAGGATGGTTTTGTTAGTGCGCAAGCTCTCCTAGAGGAGAGGACTAATCTTTGAAGCATCGGGAAGGCTTCATGGAGGAGGTGCTCTTTGAGCTAGGTTTTGAAGTATGGGTAGGTTTCACAAAAGTGAAAGTGAGAATGGCAGTCCAGGTGGCGTCCTTCATGGCACAGCACGGGCGAAGGCGCAGAGGTGGAAGGCGTGTGGCACATTCAGTGAATCTGCCTGGGAGGTGCAATGGGGGAGAAGTTCAGGGAGGGGATACACATGCGCCTGTCCACCTGCCTTTGGGGAGAGGGGCGGGTTCGGAGAGGTAGCAAGGAGGGGCTGGAAAGGGCATCTCTGAGCCCCTCCTGGGTGCCCCTTCCTCGTAGGTGTACATTACCGGCCACATACCCCCGGGGTTCTTTGAGAAGAAGCGGAACAAGGCGTGGTTCCGGGAGGGCTTCAACGAGCAGTACCTGGAGGTCGTGCAGAAGCACCATCGTGTCATAGCAGGGCAGTTCTTCGGGCACCATCACACCGACAGCTTTCGGATGTTCTATGATGATGCAGGTACTTGACCTGGAGGGCGGCTGCCAGCCTGCCTCCCTCCTGCCACCAGCCTCTCAGTCCCGCTGTCTTTCCTGACAGGTGCCCCCATAAACGTCATGTTCCTCACACCTGGGGTCACCCCTTGGAAAACCACATTACCTGGAGTGGTCAACGGGGCCAACAATCCAAGCATCCGGGTGTTCGAATACGACCGAGCCACACTGAGCCTGCAGGTCAGGAGCCCTGGGTGTGCTGGGGCCAGAGGAGGAGGAGGGTGGGAGGGACCACTGCCTTCCGTAACTCTCTGTTAATCCACCCACCACTGGCCACCCAGCCTTTGGAAGGTCAAGTTACCTCCACCCTTCTCGAGCTCAGGTTCAGAACCCTGGGGCCACCTGCCACCAAGTCAGGTCAATTTTTCTTACTCAAATCTCCTTTCACCCTGGATCACTGCCATAGCCTCCTTCCTGTTCTCCCTGCCTCCAGCCCTGCCCTGCTGTGTCCCATCTGCACACACTACAGAAGGGACTCATCTTTCGAAAGCACTGCTTCCATCTTATCTCTCTCCTGCTCAAAAACCTTCAGTAGCTCCCCAGTGCCCTCAAGATAAAGTTATGTCTCCTTGGCCTGGATTCAAGGCTTCCCACAGTCTGACCTCAAGCCCATTGCCTGCCTCTTCCTATATACCGACTAGGCTTCCACCCCTAATCTAGCAATCCCACACCTCCTAGAACGTGCTTGTGATTGTCGAAATGACAAAGAAATATTCCTTCATTTATGCAACAAAATGCATTAAGCATCTGCCATGTGCCAGGCCCTGTTCTAAGCTCAGGAGATACGTAAGTGATCAAGACAAAGTCACCACTTTCCTGGACCTCACATTCTTACAGGAGAGAGACAATAAACAAGTAAAATTAAGTATGGCCCAGAGAGCAGGGCTAAGGAGAAAAGCCAAACAGCGTGAGGTGACAGGGCAGTGACGGTTATGGGGCATGTGCTGCGGGAGACGGATGGGGCAGGGAAAGTGTCAGAGATACGGTGACATTTGAGTTCTGAGTACATTGAGGGAGCGAGGCGGAGGGAAGAGCAAGTCGAAGGCCCCGGCGTGGGGAGGAGCAAGGAGGCCAGGCGGCCACAGTGGCATTCACAGGGGCAGAGTGGGAGGGATGAGGTCAGATCACGTAGGCCATGATGTGGACTCTGGATGGGGAGGGTTTGGGCAAACGGATGAAAATCTTCTGACTTACAATTTTCCAAAATCACCATGCCTGCTGAGCAGAGAACCGGCTGTAGGGGCGAGTGCAGATGCGGGGGCTGGTCAGGAGGCAGCTACAAAACCCACAGAGACGACGGTGGCTTGGCCGGGGTGGTAGCAGTGGGCTGGTGAGAAGTGTTGGGTCCTGGCCGTATTCTGAAGGCAGAGTAGCCAGATGTGCGGTAGATGGATGTGGGGTGTGAGAGGAAGAGAGGAGTCCACGAGGATTCCAAGGATTTTGGCCTGAGCAAGGGAGAGGATGAGGCTGCTGGGTACTGAGACGGGATGACTGTGGGGCCACCAGGCTTCGGAGGGACCGTCGGAGGTCCGTTTTGGACCTGCTAACTTTGGGATGGTTCAATGGCATCAAGTGGAAGTGGCGAGGGAGGGGGCAAGTGGGAGCTCCAGGAAGAGGTGGGTTTAGAGATTTAATCTGGGAGTGGACAGAGGACATTTACAGCCAGGGATGGGATGGGACAACCTAGGTCCTTGACTCTAGGGAGTAAACGTAGATGGAGAAGGGGTCTGAGGATTTTCAAGGGTGTGGCCCGTTGTCCACATGGACACTCAGAGGGTCTTAGCAAGAGGACTTGCAGGCTGAGGAAACCCCACTGCACCCCATAATATGCCCCACATTCTTCTCAGGGAGGGAGTCAGACCTAGCTCCACTGTTTGTAAAGTTTTTGAACTTTTTTTTGAACTCTGTGCCTCAGTTGCTTCATGTGTAAAAGGAAGGGTTTGGGGGAGGACTAAATGAAATAATGTAACGCGCCTGGCACGCAGCTGTGGTCCACACGTGGCAGCTCCTCTGACCCCCGTCTCTAGTGACCTGAAGCAGTTCCATAAATTTAACTGGAAGGTGTCGGACTGCTAGACCCTTCAGATTCTAGTCCTGAAGATGCAACTGGGCCCTCGGGGCCCACAGTCTATAACTCTCTCAGCCAGGCACTCTGCCCATGGTCAGTCCCACTCCCTTCAAGTTGCTTTTCATCCATTCGTTCTGCAAGTACTTACTAATCATCTTCGACGTGCCCAGAAGGTTGGTGGGACAGAAATGTATAGGCCTGAGGCACATAACCTGGGTTCCTCTGCTGCTGAACACCTGTATGACCCTGGCCAAGTGAATTAACCTCTTAAGGCCTCAGTTTCCTCATCTGTGAAATGGGGATAATAAGCGCAGTTGCCTTATCAGATGCAATCAGAGGATGTCTGCAAGCAGACCTGGTAGGTAGTTAAATGCTCAGTAGTGGTCACTGTCTCGGCTATAAAGAATTCCGGGGCAAATGCAAGGTGCAGGACTCGGGGTGGGACGGAACAGCAGCTCACGGCCGTCCGTCCGTGCCCCCTCTCTAGGACATGGTGACCTACTTCCTGAACCTGAGCCTGGCGAACGCACAGGGGACGCCGCGCTGGGAGCTGGAGTACCGGCTGACCAAGGCCTACGGTGTGCCTGACGCAGGCGCCCAATCCCTGCACACAGCTCTGGACCGCATCGCCAGTGACCAGGGGGCGCTGCAGCGCTACTACGTCTACAACTCAGTCAGCTACGATGACAGGGCCTGTGACGAGGCATGCCGCACCGAGCACGTGTGCGCCATGCGCCACGTGGCCTTCAGCAGCTACGCCACCTGCCTGCGCGCCTCTGGCTCCGCACCTGCGCCCTGGCTTGCGCTCCTGCTGCTGCTGACCGCGGGGCTGGGCCTGTGCGCGCTGCTGGCGTCGTGACCTTGGGCGCCCAGCCAGCCGCCCACTTATTGGGCTTATCTTCCTCCTGGTAAAATGGGCAGCGTCACTCTCTCGAGAGCTGGGGTTTTCCACTGTTTCTCCGTCTGCAGAGAGGGAACTGGATGGGATGGCCGGATCCGGAAACGAAGCCCCCCCAAAAGCACATTTCATTCATGTTTCATGTTTTACCCCCAAAACAAAGCTCATCGAGCATGTTATTCTGTGCATTGTTTGTTTTACTATGTAAACGATGTTTAAAGTAGTGGCTTGCGGTTATTGAACTCCTCCCCTCCCCCACTCAGATCGTCGTTGTGAACTGAGCCACCCCGAAGATGCGTCCCGTTGGCTCGTGGCACGAACGCGGTGCACGCGGTTTGCAAAGTCCTGTACTCTGGGGTCAGAACAGGTCTTTCCGTTTCGTTGTTTTGTTTTGCAACAATGCAAATGTGGGGGATTGCTCCGGGCAGTCTCGCCTTCTTGGGCCTCCAGACGCCTCAAATGTAAAACTAGGCGGTTCGAAGTCTGCTAAGCGAAGGGCGGCGGTCTTCGTGCCTAGCGGCCCTCGGGGCTCTCTGGGCTCGGCTGGGCTGCGTAGGGGGATCCCTGGGCTGGCATCAGGGATAGAGCCGGAGGCAGGGGCAGCGGAAGGGCCAGGAAGGGGGACCGGGGCGTCCGCAAGCCTCGCCCCTCCCCGGACGGGGCGGGACGGGGAAGTTCCGCCCAGCAGGCCCGCGCCCCGGGCCGCCCCTACCTCCTTCCTGCCGCCGCGACCCCTGGCTGCCAGGGCGGGCGCGAGCCGCAGAGGGGAAGGAGGGGCAGAGGCAGGCAGGCCATGCCCTGGTCGCCCCGCGCCACCCTTCTTCGGGACCTGGTCCTGGGCGTCCTGGGCACCGTCGCTTTCCTGCTCGACCTGGGTGCCGACCTGTGGGCCGCCTGCCAGTACGTGCTCAGCGGCCGCTACCTGTGGGCGGCGCTGGTGCTGGCGCTGCTGGCTCTCGCCTCGGTCGCGATGCAGCTCTTCAGCTGGGTCTGGCTGCGCGCCGACCCCGTCGGCCTGCACGGGCCGCAGCCCCCCGGTCGCTGCCTGGCGATGCTGCATCTCCTGCAGCTGGGCTACCTGTACAGGTGAGCGCCCCGCGGGAAGGGGGAGGGGACACGCAGCCCAGCACCTCCGGCAGTGAGACGCCTGCCATCGGAAGCGGGTGGGACCTACAGGTGAGCGTCCCGCCCTTCAGAGAAAGAGAGCTCAGGCTGACAGCCCTCAGAACTCAATTAGCGCTCCCCTTCCTGGCACAGGTGAAGAAACTGAGGCCCAAACAAGAAGGGGAGGCGCATAGGATTCGGGGTCAGGCCTCTCTGGGATTCAGTCTGGCTTTGCCACCTGTGACCTCATTTCTGCGTTTCTCTGAGCCTCAGTCTCCTCCTCTATAAAAAGTAGGTACTCACCTAGAGACAGGTGTGGCGGGCCCCTGTTGTGAAAAGGGAGTGAACGAGAAAGTGCCTCGCACAGAGCTTGGTGTGTGGACTCGTCAGCACGGGCTGTTCCCTAGCTGTAGGCAGGGCCTTGAGCAAGTCACTGACCTCTCCGGGACTCAGTTTACTCATTGTTCCAGGGAGATGGTAACAAGCCTACTTCAGTTTTGTGAGGTTTAAATGAGATGGCACCCGTAAGTTGTCCTGGTGCGGAGTAAGCGTTCGGCAGATGTCAGCTAGCTTCAGGGTTACCGGGGCCACCCAGGGAGCTTCAGCAGCCCTGACCCCCCCAGCAGCACTGTACCCTCACAGCGGGCACCTCGCACTCTTTCCTGCCCACTCATATTCTTCTCCCTGGACGTTTGCTTCCCACCCCCAGGCCAAGCAAGAGGGCAGAGATGGGGCCTGATCATCTGTGTCCCTGGAGCCAGCCAGGGTGGGCGCAGGCTGCGGCTCGGAAAAGGTGTTGGATCGGGCTCCTTTTCAGAACTGGCAGGGCCCCACCGAAACTGAAACCAAGGGGTCAGAGTCATGCGATGAAGTCAGGACATCTGGTGATCTGGGTGGGGATGGAGCCAGGATCCACTTCGAATCCGTTTACAAATTCTTTCTGGATCTTGCCTTGACAAAGCTGCATGGAGTCCCCAGGAGTGGGGGAGAGGAGCTTTGAATGTTGCAGTTTTGCCAGAGGCACTGTACAGACATCGAAAAAGAAAAAACCCGAGCGGGCATGAAGGGGCACTGCCACGATAGTCCTAGGCAGGCTTTGCGGAGCCCTGGATCCCTAACCTCCTCCTGCATCTTCTCTTCCCCTCTCTCTGCTGAGCTTGAGTCAGACTGTGCTGAGCCTTGGTTTTGAAAACAGGGTCTCTGTTCCCGCCTGTGACTAGGCTAGGCAGGGTCCCTGCCAGGGCACTGGGGGTTCAGAGGCAAAGGCTCCTGCTGAGGGGGCGCCCCATCGGCCCTGCCTGCCTGCCCCCTAGTGTTCTCAAGTCTGTCCAGGGGAGTGACAGGTGAGCGAGTGGGCTTTACTAATCCCAGTAGCCTGCTGAGCAGAGTTCCGGGTGGGGGAGGCCGTGGTGCATCCTCTATTCCACGCTCATGCCAGTGTGTCCCCCAGGCCTGTCTGTCCAGCCTCTGGACTCTTTAACTCTGCCACAGTCTCCGTCCCCACCC